AGACAGGCAATACTATCAGATTCATAATCAACAGTAACATTTATCCAGCTACCTAACCTTTGGAGGATAATCATAATTTGCAAAATGACTGATAGTCCCTCCAAGCAAACCAATACCATCTGCAAGGAATCAGGAAAGAAAATTAGCCATCTACTCTTAAGTCATGTTGAGGATGGGAGGAAGAATTTCAGATTTTCTGTGGTCTCACCTTCTGTTAGAGTACCCTTACCGAATTCATCTAATAAGCACAGTGATCTCGATGTTGCATGCCTGCAAAATTTCTTTGGTTGTATGTTCAAGATCGCAAGACAACTTAAGGGTGGATACAAATATGATACCTGAGCATTGTTCCAACTTGATGTAAATCAATCATAAATGTTGACTGCTCAGTTGTCATTGACTTGCTTCCCATTGCACAGAATATCCTACAAAACGTTATTAAACATGTCAGATATATAAAACTTCAATCTAGGATTACTACGATAACTGTGTGTCATGAACCGTATACATATTAGCATTTGACCTACAACACTAATACACTAATAATTTCCCCTCAATTCTTCATACTGAAACATGTCATATAAACACAAACCTATCAGTCAATCCAACAACAGCAGAATCAGCAGGAACAAAGCTTCCAATATGAGCAAGAAAAACCACCAATGCAACCTGAAAGCAAATATCCAACGCAACTTGAACTTTATTTCGCAACTTTGAGTTCATGAAAGTAGGAGTTCGTACATGCTCTCCCTAGGAAGTAAAAAAACACAAAATTTAAAGTACATTAACGATCTGATCTGCAGCCATGTTTTAATCCAGAACTAACTGATACAGCCTAAGCATTTGTGCAATTTAGTTTGGGGTGCACAAAGCACTTCTCAGGTAACATTACCTGCTTAATGTAAATGCTTTTCCCTGAATAGTTAGGTCCAGTTATTATGTTTATTCTTCCTGAGATAAAAATAGCCATAAATCATATTCTTGACAATAAGAGAAGTACTAAGTTTAGAATATCAAATATCTTGGGAACTAGCCACCTGCACTGCGGATTTTCGTATCATTTGGAACAAATGTGTCAACGGTCATTTCCTGCAAAGCATGTCTAAATTGTTGTTGAAGTAAGTTCATTGCCTTCAACCATAAGACTGTTAGTAATACCCAACTAACATGTAACATGGGAATAAAAAAAACAATACTAACCTTCCATTCTGTATCTCAAGTATGGAATCCTCAGTTAAGATGGGCCTCACGTAATTGTTTTGGCGCGCAACAATTGCCAATGATAAAATACTAATGTAACAGAACAGGAGCTCGTTAGATCGCCATATTGTCAGTAAGTTGAATGTGTGTAACAAATATGTGCATACCAATCAAGTTCTGCTGCAAAGTTCACTGCTTTTGTCAGTTGAGGTAGAAACTGAAGAACACGGCATACTAGATCCCTTATGATTGCTCTTTCCATGTCTGTCAGCGCAACAACGCCAAAGTCATTATCCATTTGCAGATTTATGGAAATACAAGAAGAATATCCATTGAAACTTCAATAAGACACACATTTAGACCCGTTTTTTTAAAAAAGGTTACATGTAAACTTGAACTATAGAAATTTCTGGAACAAAATATAAAATAGCAAGAAATTGGCAGATGAATATAAAATTACATTCCGAAATCCACAGGCATGTAATATCTGGAGAAGATGGCAAGATAAACTTGTTAAGGTGAAATGCTCACTGTTTGCTTATTCATGGCCTGTAACTTTAAAGGTAAAGTACCATCGAACATCAAGTTCAAAATAAACTCATTTGTAAGTGTAGCTCTATCTTCATCAGGGAAAATATGATTATTGCACCAACAGTATACATAATTCGATAAGAAACCACAGCATTGGGAGCAGAATTAAATAAGTAGATAAATTATTTAAGCTACCAAGAATTTTATGATAAATATCTCCCAGAAGGTTGTCCAGCTCTCTTGTCTTCTGAGTATGGTAGTAGAACCTTCTCTCTTCCCCATCCTCTGAAAACTGATGAGCATAGAACTTATTACACATTAACAATCAAACGAAATAAAACAACACACAGCTTACCGCAAATTCAAAATCTTGAAGTTCTATTAACAAGGCCTCACTTATCTTCTCATCAAAAAAACACATCAAGTATCCTGTTAGTGTCATAAATGGTAAACACATGAGTGTTCTCATTATTAACTTTTAGTTCCTATGAACGATTGCATATTGCATTTTACAAGCACTATCCAGCAACCTGTAACACTCCAGTACCAACTATAGTAAATTAGACAAAGAAACTAGTAAATCACAACCAGAAAGAAGTTTACAAACAAATAGCTAATATTTCCAATCCACATGCAGACCAGACTCAAACCCTTATCTTCTTGCAGATATTGCCTCAAACTTTAATTTGTACTAGTCAAACAAGGAGCTAAAACAAATATTTGAACAATGAACCTAATTACTTAGTCGATGGTCACATACTCACTCCATTCTTATGAACAACAACAACAACAACAACAACAAAGCCTTTAGTCCCAAACAAGTTGGGGTAGGTTGAGGTGAAACCCATAAGATCTCGCAACCAACTCATGGTTCTGGTACATGGATAGCAAGCTTCCACGCACCACTGTCCATGGCTAGTTCTCTGTCGATACTCCAGTCCTTCAGATCCCTCTTTACGGACTCCTCCCATGTCAAGTTCGGTCTACCCCGACCTCTCTTGACATTATAGGCACGCTTTAGCCGTCCGCTATGCACTGGCGCTTCTGGAGGCTTGTGCTGAATATGCCCAAAACATCTTAGACGATGTTGGACAAGCTTCTCTTCAATCAGCGCTACCCCAACTCTATCTCGTATATCATCATTCCGGACTCGGTCCTTCCTTGTGTGGACACATATCCATCTCAACATGTGCATCTCCGCCACACCTAACTGTTGAACATGTCGCCTTTTAGTCGGCCAACACTCAACGCCGTACAACATTGCGGGTCGAATCGCCGTCCTATAGAACTTGCCTTTTAGCTTTTGTGGCACTCTCTTGTCACAGAGAATGCCAGAAGCTTGGCGTCACTTCATCCATCCAGCTTTGATTCGATGATTCACATCTTCATCGATATCCCCATCCTTCTGCAACATAGACCCCAAATATCTAAAGGTGTCCTTCTGAGGCACCACCTGCCCATCAAGGCTAACCTCCTCCTCCTCCTCGTGCCTACTAGTACTGAAACCGCACCTCATGCTATATACAGCTGAGAGCTACTCGGTTTTAGTTCTACTAAGTCTAAAACCTTTGGATTCCAAGGTTTGTCTCCATAGCTCTAACTTCCTATTGACCCCCGTCCGACTATCATCGTCTAGCACCACATCATCCGCAAAGAGCATACACCATGGGATATCTCCTTGTATATCCCTTGTAACCTCATCCATCACCAGAGTGAAAAGATAAGGGCTCAAAGCTGACCCCTGGTGCAGTCCTATTTTAATCGGGAAGTCATCAGTGTCACCATCACTTGTTCAAAGACTTGTCACAACATTAGCATACATGTCCTCGATGAGGGTAATGTACTTTGTTGGGACTTTGTGTTTCTCCAAGGCCCACCACATGACATTCCGTGGTATCTTATCATAGGCCTTCTCTAAGTCAATGAACACCATATGCAGATCCTTCTTTTGCTCTCTGTATCTCTCCATGAGTTGTCGTACCAAGAAAATTGCTTCCATCGTCGACCTCCCAGGCATGAAACCAAACTATTTTTTGTCACGCTTGTCATACTTCTTAAGCGGTGCTCAATGACTCTAACATAGCTTCATGTATGGCTCATCAGCTTAATTCCATGGTAATTAGTAAAAACTCTGAACATCCCCCTTGTTCTTGAAGATTGGTACTAATATACTCCGTCTCCATTCTTCTGGCATCATGTTTACCCCAAAAATGAGGTTGAAAAGCTTAGTTAGCCATACTATAGCTATGTCTCTGAGGCCTCTCCACACCTCAATGGGGATATGATCAGGGCCCATCACCTTGCCTCCTTTCATCTTTTTTAAAGCCTCCTTGACCTTTGACTCCTGGATTCGCTACAAAAATGCCTGTTGGTATCATCAAAGGAGTCGTCCAATTCAATGGTAGAGCTCTCATTCTCCCCATTGAACAGCTTCTCAAAGTACTCCCGCCATCTATGCTTAATCTCCTTGTCCTTCACTAGGAACCGGTCTGCTCCGTCCTTGATGCATTTGACTTGGTCAACATCCCTCGCCTTCCTCACTAGGATCTTGGCCATCTTATAGATGTCCCTTTCGTCTTCCTTCGTGTCTAACCGCTGGTAGAGGTCCTCATACGCCCAACCCCTTGCTTCACTCATAGCTCGCTTTGCGGCCTTCTTTGCCATCTTGTACTTCTCTATGTTGTCTGCGCTCCTATCTAGGTAGAGGCGTCTAAAACAATCTTTCTTCTCCTTAATAGCCTTTTGGACATCATCGTTCCACCACCAAGTATCTTTAGCTTCTCTTTTACTTCCCCTGGACACTCCAAACTCCTCTAAGGCCACCTTACGAATGCAAGTCGCCATCCACATATTGTTTGCATCGCCTCCTTCCTCCCAAGGGCTCTCCTTAATGATCCTCTCCTTGAATGCCTGAGCTCCCTCCCCCTTGAGCTTCCACCACTTCGTTCTAGCGACTTTGGCACGCTTATCCCGCTGGACACAAATCCGAAAGCGGAAGTCAGTCACCACCAGCTATGTCAAGGGACAACACTCTCCAGATATCACCTTACAATCTAGGCACGCATGCCTGTCTTCTCTTCTCGAGAGGATGAAATCAATCCGGCTAGAGTGTTGACCACTACTCAGGCTGCAAGTGGGACTATACATGGGACTCCCACCTTTAGCCCACTTGATCCCACTACGTTTGGTGGGAATCACCAGCCATCCCGTCACAACTTACGCAAACTATGTGGGCACAAGTGGGATCACATTTACTAGCAAATGCACTCACGATGAAGATGAGCCACAACGCGTACAAACACGATCGCCGCAGGCAGCCGAACCAGTAGCTTGCATGACATAATGATGGAAGAGGAGATGGCCGTTGGAGCGGGACACGCCGACAGCTTGGCGGATACTGCGACGGCGGCCCTCCCTTACACTGCCGTCGATGAGGGCGGGGCGGAAGCCTCGGGACGATCGTCGCCGGTTCACGGGAGCCGGTTCTGGGCCCTGTCGAAGCTGGCCACGGAGGACTCGGTCGGCGAGATGGTCTCTTTCTAGGGCACGGCGCTCAATCGAGAGGGGGAGACAAAGGCGCGGCTGGAATGCCGGGGTCCCGACGGGTCAGTGCCGTCGGAGGTGATGAACTGCAAGGTACCTTGGTCGCCTCTGGTGGCGCATGACACGTGCAGGGGTGCGACTGCGCCAACGAGCTGCTGTGGGTTGTAGGTGCAGGAGGGGCCGGGCGGTCTTGGTGTACGAGTAGTGATGAACTCGTCAGGTGCAACGGCACGGGCGCGTCAGGTTCAGGTGCGGTGGAGTTGCCCAACGCGGGGGGCGGTGAGCTTCTGCTCGCGGGGCGCACTTGCATGAACAGGAGGAGAAAATCGTGCCTCGTTGCCCAGCTGCAGGCGGTCATCCCCATACTCACGGTTCAGGTGTTAGTGCGGCTGTTTGTGCTCATCCAGGTGACCAAGCGTTGGCAGCATGCCGGCACGTAGTTGTTGGATGGCATCTCCTCATGGCTTTCAGCGCCGCCTCCGTCGCTCGCGATGAGGGGAGGGAAGGGGCTGGTGGGTGAGGTGGGTTCCCAATGGGTTAATAGGGCTAGCCCACTTAATTTTCCTTTTGTCCAATGGGATCCCACTAATGCAATTTAGGTGGGATGGGCTGATTAGTCCCATTTAATTCCACTCCCATCTGCAGCCTGAACCACTACTAAAAGTCAGCAGGTGTGATTCTCTCTTTTGAAAGAGGGTGTTAGCCACGATCATGTCGTAGGCTAGAGCAAAGCTTAAGACATCTTCTCCTTGATTCCTGATGCCATAACCAAAGCCCCCATTCACCCCTTCATGTACCCACGTGCCCATTGAGGTCTCCTCCTATGAAGAGCTTCTTGCCAAACGGTACACTCCTAACCATGTCCTCCAAGCCTTCCTAGAACTCCCTCTTGGTGTTCTCAATTAATGTTTCTCATGCAACTACATCAAAGTGTAACCAGAGTACCCAGCTGTACTAACACACAAATTTGAGCCGAACTACCAAGGGTAAAAGGAATTTAACTAACGTGTTCTCCTGTAAGATTAACTTTGGACCCAAAAAAAATGCTTGATGACCGAAAAAAATACGTTGATTTCTAAAAAAAGAAAGCAAATTAGTAAGAACCCCTGCTATGTATATTTCATGTTAGTATAGTAGAAACGGAGACCTTCCATAGCATAAATAAAAGAAAGAGGACAAAGCTTGCGCATGCAATAGCAATGTATATCATATGGAGGGCTCGATAGTATCAAATTTAACAGGATAAAAAGAATAAAGTTCTATCTGGGGATCAGCAACAAAAATACCTATTTGGTGTACATAGACAATTAGCGGAGCTTTTCTGCATTCGAGCGAGAAAGGGAAGGAGGCATTTTCATTAGCTGAAACCTAGAAGCAGCTAAACTGTTACAATTTACCGAACAAAGGCATAAAAAGTTGACGCTTCAAATTAAATTCACTTTGGAAGATCCATCACCTGCTCCAGAAAGTCAGGTAATCCTTCATACACCATCCTCAGTTCATCCAACTATATTTCACAAGGAGGTTCATTTGATTAGAAGAACAAGGCCATATCGTTGAGAAAAAGCAAACATACAATACTAGATACCAAACTTAAAAGGAAAATCAAGATATTTTGAAGAACCACAGAAGTTGCCAAGAAGATTTAATGTTATGATGAATTATTATCACATTAAAGAATGGTGTTCAAACTTTAAATAGTACCCACATATGTGCACACCCACCCAAATGTGCAGACAAGGTCCACACAACACAACGATCTGTTCTTATTACCCAATTCGACCAGACCCCTGTGAGCCATTGAAGTACTCCCTCCGTCACATAATATAAGACGTTATTACAACCGATGTACTCACATATTGGTCGTGATAACATCTTATATTATGGGACAGAGGGAGTATTTAGCAAAGCAGAACATAACTATGATTTGAGGAAAATGAAAAAAAAAACTATTTAATAGTGTTATATGGCAATCACCAACTGCAACAACTGAACAGGACGAATACCACAAGTACTGGTTAGGCTCAAGGCAAAGCAATAAGCCTGCTTCAACTATTGCACAAAGAGATGGGAGTTTGATAATTGGCTTTTAGTGATAGATTACAACTAAATGATTATTGAATATAAAGTAAAGTATGGGATCGATTAAAAAGTATAATTTATAGGACAATAGAATACAGCTCCAGGATAAGCACCCCAAGGCCTGACCTCATCACATAAATTTTCTTTCACCAATGTTTCATAGCCTTTTTCCTTACTCCGTTGTACGTCAATGACACCAATCACCTATCAATAATAGATAGAGGTCATCATTTTATGAAAGGTGAAACAACAACAGCAAGCCTCAAAAATCCCCAGAAAAATAAATATGTATTCACTCTATAAGATACTGACATATTATTTGGATAAAATTGTAACACAACCACTCATTCACTGCACAGAGCCACAGATTCAGCAGAAATGTGAATTAACTTCCCAGGAAGAAAAAAATGTTTACCAAGGTCTGAAGCAACAAATTTCACAAATAACTTTTCATACAAGAGTATCCGTAAATCATTTCATGCAAATCTATGCTACATGATGTTAGAAGCCGAGTGCTTGCTGACCACACCAATTCATATAATTCACTAAGATCAGTTGCCTAGTTAGAGATACCAGTAGGCAGATTTGTACAAAGCTATACGGTATAGCATTAACTCATACTATTTCAAAAATTTGAGATGGTCATATTGTTGTATGTAATGATCTAAAATATCACAGCATATCAATGTAAGTCAAAGACAAGGGTAAAACGCATGCACAGACTTTCTTCTGCATTCAAAGTGAGGGACAACGGTACGAGTACTAACCAGATTCGATACATAATCCAGCTCTGCTGTAATTGAAGAATTTGCCTGAAAACATATGCATCCAAGAATAAAGGAACTTCTTAAGTTCAAACTTTCATTAGTTAGTTGTGGAAGTAACAGCACCGGCTTGGAGACTAGTACCTTTTCAACCAAGTCAATGCTCATATGTTGCAACTTATTTGCCAGATGCTCTGATATTCCTACCTCAAAAATCTTGTTTATATGAAGCAAAGAGCAAATGCACTGAAGCAAGAGAAGCGGGCAAAGAAAATTACCAAGAGAAACAAGAGGAGATAAATAACCTACACACCACGTTTGTGCGCCATTGATCAGTAACCTTCAGTGTCCAACACTGGATATCAGATTCATTACAGAACGGTACAAAGCAATAATCAAAACATGCACCATGATAATTGTTCTGTTATTTCCTGCCCAAAATCTTAAGTAGGCGACTTGCCTGAGCATTTACTTAGTTCAACTAGGAAACAGCAGAGGCATGTTCCAAATTTGAGTTCTCCACAAGTACTGTACTAGACATACTTATTAATTCCATTCTGGCGAGCTTCCTAGTTTGGTGTTTGGAATGGAACATTATTATTGGTACCAGAGAGTTCCGGTGTTTCGTTCTGTGCTTTCATATAAAATGGATATATATGCATAAGACACACCGTAAAAAAGATAAAAGGGAAAAAAGGGGATAGATGTTGCTTGTAGGCTGGCATAGACATTGTTGCTCGCGTCCAGCTAGACCTGTCTGATCCCAGTGCCTGGTGACAGCATGCAGGCACATCGCAGAAGAGTCTGTCTTGTATCTAGCTTGTCCAGCTGAACATCCCAGACAACAATACCGCATCGGCAAGGAGCAAGATGTGATGGGAAGCTAACTTTAAAAGAGAGTAGGAGTGATCTTTGTGTGTGGAGGAAAGCATTAGCACAAGAGTTCTTTACTTGAAAGCAGTGCAAAATAAGTTCAGTCAGCCGACAATAGCGTGACCTGATCAGAAGTTTGTTCCAGAATATGTTTCGGTCGGGATGGACAACCTGTACGCAATGACACCTTCCATTTATCATTTTGCTACTTGGAAAGGGAAGCTCCATGATCAAGGGTTG